AATTGGATATATAATCGACGAAAAAGTTGTCGAATGAGTGGAACCACTAATAGTGATCCAAAAATATCACAGTTTTTACTGTAATTTCAATTCTTATAATTCACATAATTGTTTGGAAATGTTTCATAAGTCAATCACAACATGGAATGCGATTTTTAATAATTAAATTTTGTTAGAAATTATAGAAAAGAATATCATTATATATTAATTAGTGATATGAATAAATATAAATCTATATATTGTATACCCTATTTACTAGTATGGGTGTAAATTATGATATCTAAATTTAAGAATTGTATACAACTTTAAGCATAGTGAAAATATTTTGTTTCAATTACAGAAGTGAGACATAATTATAATAAATATAATTAATTAATATTAAGTGAATATGAAATAAATGGCACAAAAGGGAAGAGAAAAGTGAATAGTATTTAATGTTTAGTTTAGATTTGAGTGCAATTCAGTCAATGAATAAATTCTAAAGTTTTGGACGTAAACTGTTATATCAATTCTTATCTATATTTTCTCTATTCATTTGATTATTCTTTGACTAAACTATTCAATAAGTATTTTCATTTATTTATAGCTATAAATAATTACCGAATTCTTTATATAATTCGTGTTTAACTGTCTTTTTGTTGGGTTTTCTGTTACCTAAAATGGCAGTCATTGGTATCGTTGCGTCAAATTGCTGTCCATCTGCGGGCGCATCCATTAGAGTGGTTCTGGGGTTAGGATTTGTACCGATGGGTGAGTTGTGTGAAGGGTTGGGACTTCTGTAGGTGTTGGCGAAATTGAATCTAACGGTTCTCTGAGGTGTTGTCGATGGACTGCTGGGACTATTCAAGTCATAATAACTATCGGGCGATGAATGGATGGGTGATATGGAGCTGTTGTTCCACACATTGTATTGCTTTCTGTAATTACTATCGCTGTTGAGGTCGAGAGTCGTCGGACGGAGACTTTTATTCACCTGATATTGAGCTCGACTTTTGTTGAAGTCCTCATCGCATTTAAACGACGGGTTTATGTTTGAACTGTTTGAAGAACTTCTTCGATGGTATCTATAATGTCCAGCATTTGACACATTATCACGATTTTCAGCCGAATCGGCGAACCTATTGGGCGACTCCTCTGACAACATATCTCTGTTGGGAATATTGTAATCACTTTCACAGCTGGTTGTCGATGACTTGCGTCGCGCAGGCACTTGACCGCTTCTGAAGTCATAGTTAATACTCGGCCGCGAAGAATACTTCGTGTGTCCGTGATATGTGGCCGTCTTGTTCTCAATGTTCGCACCACTCAAGTAATCCAATTCGTCGATCGATTGGCCGTCGTATGGATCGTCGGACGCCTTCTGAAGGCTCTGCTTCTGAACGGAACGGATGTCAGATCCGAGTGCTATGTTTGCGATCATTGCGCCTGAATTGGTATAAAATACAAAACACATATACTTTCGGTTCAATTCATTTATTAGACAATTAAATCATTTTATTTCAGATCTCAAAGAACGGACCAATCTTTCCGATCGCGGAGTCAATACTGGAGAAGAACTTTCGTTTGTTTCGGTGTTCGACAGATGAAGAGCCAGAAGACGCCTCATTTGACTGCAAACCGCTGTCACACTCTTCAGCTGAGATGAGAGCAAAATAATCATTAATTTAAGGTATACTTCAAATGCAGTGATAACCTACGGGTGTCATCGAGTGTGTTGTATGCATAGAAACTGCTCATATTCTGGTACGGAATCCCTTTGTTTTTCTCTAAATTGGGGGCACTTTTCCAAACCTGATTCATACGTTTGCGTTCCCTTTGATGTCTACTACTCGGTCCCCCTTTTCACACAAAAAACATTGGTTTAGAACAGAATGTAATCGTAAAAAGAGATAACATTTGACTCACAAGTGTTGGGCAAAGCATAGGCCCTGAGTCGTGACCCGGAAGTGGTTGTGGGCGAAGGGGAAACACTTTCAGGACTAGATGTGACGGTAATATTGTGGCGAAAATTTTGAGGCAGACCTATCTCATGAGTGGACCCGTGTTTCAGCATATGATTCAATAACTTCTTTTTGCGGAACTTTCCTCTTCTCTTCTTTGGCTGCGGTTTCGACTCATTTTGCTGCTGAAGAATAATGACATTGAGTTCGCGGCCCAACAGATCCATCTCCCGTTCAGCCAATTCGCGTTCCCGTTCTTTGAGCACCTGTTCCTTCACCTGTTGCTTAACCATAGCTTTACTCAACTCTTCCTCTCGAGACCGCAATTCCTTTTCTTTAGTCTTAAGTTCGTCAAGAATTTGATTGATTTCTTGTTTCCAGTCGTTTCTCATAGTATGAAAAGATTCGGCATTTGTTTCGGGAAACTGAGAATTTGCGATATCTATCAGACTATTGAGAATACTTTCAAAGTCGGGCCGATTGTGAGGCGTCTGATCCCAACACGCTTTACATAAGCAGACAATCAATTTGTTAAAATCAAGACCTACTATATCGGCAACAAATATAAACTTACCCTCGAGTAGAGTTTTGAATTCAGGGGGACAGGAGGTGGGAATGGGCAAGATCAGTTTATTCATAGCTACTCCATATGCAACTGCCAGCGCATCAATGCCTTTGTACGGCGTCTCTCCCGTTAATATCTCCCAAACGACAACACCGTAACTGATATATTAAACAGAGATGTTGTAGAAACCAAACGACTAATGAATGCATTGAATGACAAATACCTCCAGACGTCACTGGCTTTTGAGAAGGTGGAAGACTTGATCACTTCGGGTGACATCCAGGCATAAGTGCCCGCTTGAGACATACGCGTTGTTTTACTCAGTTCTCGGGCTAATCCTAAATCTGTTATCTTTAATGTCTTCCTAAACCAGTTGTCGTCATCAATGGGTTCATTCAAAAGCACTAAAAGTGTTTGAAAATGAAAAATTAGAAACAAATTGAAAGCGAATCCAAATACAAACCATTGCTAGACTTGAGATCTCTGTGTATGAGAGAAATGGGAGCCTTTTTGTGTAAGTAATTCATGCCATCGGCTATCTGTATGGCCCACTCGCAGATGACTGCGGGCGGGATGTGTTGGCCGGACAGCACCCGATTCAAAGAGCCGCCCCTCAGGTACTCCATCACAAGACACAGGTTGGGCTCATCGAGACAGACGCCAATCAACTTCACTATATTCGGGTGATCTAAGATCCAGAATAGTTTGGCCTCTTGTCTAACACCGGCCAACACATCAGCGATGTCTTCGTTCAGGTCCTGTCGCGCAGCCTTCACAGCCACCTCCCGGCCCTCATATATGCCGCGATATACTTTGCCGAACCCTCCGATTCCTATCACTTCTTGGAGTCTGAGTTGAGAGAAATCTATTTCGCAGATTTGTGGCAAAACCGACGCTTCATTGGACGGACACCTCCTCTCAGGGATCACGAAATTGGACGGAAATATGCCCACTCTTTG